ACTCCGAATCAAATCTACTAAGGCAGTGGCCCTCAACTTATGGACATTTCGGTCTTACTGTTTCAGAAGATTTGACGACTATTAGGAAGCCTTCAAGAGTTCAAAGACGCAACTGCGGCTCACCTAAAACAACGAACGGGAAAACGGAAAACAGGTGATAATCCCTGTGGAATCTTTTTTTTGGTTTTACTACTGGCAAGATATTTACTGGCATGCTACTCGAGCACCTTAATAAAACCTGGAGCAGGAAAAACCGACGAATACCGCAAACACCGGATGTGCCGGATGACTTACGCCTTGTAAAACTGTTGCACTATAACATAACGGTCCGCCATAGATGGCGAGTCAGTCTCGGTATCATTCTTGATGATAAATTTTGTGAAACGGAGTTCCTTACTGGCTCCCAACTTCTTCATGCTCAGGTCTATTACCGTGCCTACCGTGACGCATGGTCAAGAATCCAGATCAACTATAGAACCGATAGGACACTATTCCAAAACCAACCTATGCAGGCAGAAACAAAATTATGTTAACCTAGTGCCGATGACCCCTTATTCGTAATCAACTGCACGCTGGATACCAAAATTGAAGCCTACATGCGGCGACGACGCGCAAAACGATTTGCCTCCGGATGCTTACAGTTGTGATTGACTATTAGCTAGGACAAGACTGTGATCATGTACTAACCAGCAACAACTACTGCATTTAACGAATGCATGATAAGTGTCCATGGCAGTTGCATCACAACTGTGCATATATTCGCATGCATGCGCAGTGCCATCTGATCTAATATCAATATCGGAAGTGAGATTGCAAGTAGGATCTGAAAGGGCAGGCGGGCCTTCGACAGGCTGCAAGGTTCGGTCGAGAATCCCCGTCGCCTCCTTCTCGGAACTAAATTGAGGATGTAGATAGTTGGCATTCCGACTACAATGCGTTATGGAACTAAGCCTTGGATAATGTAAGAAGATTAGGAAGAGAAACTAAACGGATTTGGTCTAAGTCGCCTCCAAATAAGGTACAGAATGAAACCAGAAGGAAGGATCATGAAAATCGAGGTCCTGTAAAAAGGAACGTGCCCGCTGCTTATATTATAATAAAGAAGGTCTGACTGCGATGGCGAGGCCACGTCGTGAAGATGGCTGATGAGTGTTTGCC